ACCCTGAGCCGGTGAGATTTGAACCGCTGACCTGCTGATCTAGCAGTAGCCTGCAGTGCTGCATTTAACCACTGCGCCACCTTGGCTCATGTAGTTATCCTGATTCCTATTTCAAATATCAGAAACCATCAGACAGCTGTTATTTCCAAAAACTTTTGAAAAAGGAAGTAGTGGTAATACAAGAAAAGCATCTTCAAATATTACTTTGATAATTTAATAGGCAGCTAGATATATAAATCAAACAAGTGATCAAGATTCTTTAAAGGGAACATTTGATATGGATTGAGTTTTTTCCTGCCTAAAGATAAGGTGTTAAGTGATCTCCTATTGAAAGGGATAAGTGGCAATGAAACATGAAATGAAAAAAGGACAAGGTTCAAGTTGCACCCGGAGCCTTGTACCCTTGTTTGCAAGCCTTCACTTACTTCAGATACCCAGATACATAATAGTTAGATTTATAGTCCACTTAATTTTCAAGGAAAATTGTAGTTAGAAAAGAAGATTGAGTCTTACTGACATATTCCTTGACAGACAGAATTGTTAGGGCACTTACCAAAGAACGATGGCATTGAAAAGTAACACTCATATCATCTGAGTCTTGACAAAAACAAATACTGTGTTTTTGTCTGATTAAAAGAAACATCTGGAAATACTTTTCATCCCACATATATTTTAATTTGTAGATTTAAATGGTTATATTATTACTGATAAGATTAATTATGATTATCATACTTTAAGGTATGATGCTAATAATCATACTTCAGTGACAAAGCATGATAATCATACTTTAGCATCATACTTTAATGTATGCCAATTGATATCATACTTGGATATTAACATGGATTAATTTGGCAAAAAGAATATATATGTTGGGGCTGCAAAAAACTTAACTTCTTCAGTTCTGGAAGCCCTATTCTATGCATTATCTAAATCTTAACAGAGGTTTATCTTAATTATCCCAATTGACATAAGTCAGTCTTAGAAAATTTTTTAAACTTTGTTAAGTTGTGCCTGGATAACAAGAGTACAAGGCAATCTAAAGAAATGGGCTGCTCTCATTTTACATGGATATATGAAGATCATCCAGTATGATCAGGTTGTTTAATTGGTATACATAAAACAGAATTCTGAGTCTAACTGCTGCTAGCTCAGTAAGTATTAGTAGCTTGTTTTAGTACCACATATATTTAAATTAAAGCTGCCATGGAAATTTACAACAGAAGCATACCATCAAAGCTGCAAGCATAACAAGATATAGTTGATGTATTAGCATAAAATTTCAGACTTTAGAGAGCAACCCAGAGATCCCCTGGAACAAACATGACATTCTATTTGATGGATGGCCTAAATGGCTCATCTCTACTGTCTCGCAAGGCATCTTGCTTAAGTCTCCAACTTACGTCATTATCTGAGTTTCTATGCCTGGCTCCACTAGGGACCCATCCATGAAGAGTGGTGCTGATGTGAAGCCATATTTATTCCAGGTCCTTCCTTCATCGAAACTCACCCTGAGATTGAAAGAGATAAATGCACATGAAAATGTTTCACTGGAGCCATTTCCAAGGCAATTAAACATCATTGGCTAATGAGAGGGGGGGAGAGAGAGGGGGGGAAATCTATGAGATGCAGAAATGTCATAGATTTATTATATTGTGATGTTGCTTATATAGTGTTACCATTTCGTTGTGAAACTTTCTACAATGGTGACCAGCAAATAAAAAAATTATGCAGCTTTGATCTTTGATCCAACTTCTTAAAATAACACAGTTCTTTTAAGAAGTTGGAAAAATATTTCCACTGAATAAAAGATGCTTTTGACACTGTTCTTTATGAAAACTGTTTTGCACCTCATGAACTAATCTATACACTGAAACTTAATCTTTACACTTCAAAAATGCCCTGATGCAACTCTTTGTTTAAAATGCATTTCAAAATAAATAACTTGAAAATAGGCATAGTAAATATGTATTTTGAAAGAAAATATTTTAAATCATGATTTAAAAGTTCTATATAGTATATTTTTCTCTTAAATTGGTCCTTTAATATCCAAATATTAAGAGCCAAGGTGGCGCAGTGGTTAAATGCAGCACTGCAGGCTACTGCTAGATCAGCAGGTCAGCGGTTCAAATCTCACCGGCTCAGG